GTTCTTTGTCGTCGACGATGGAGGCGTGACCAGGTTGCATGGCTTTGATTGCGAAAAACTCGGGTTTCAGCAGTGTCTGTCCGAAGTTATCACTGCTTACCCCCTCTTCATGATCTGGCCTCCTGGACAGAGGGTCGGCTCGTAGCATTGTCTTCCCAGGGCGATGTTTCAGAACGAAGTTGAAGCGAGACATGAATAAACTCCATCGGGCTTGTCGGCGTGTGAGCTTCTGTGCTTGCCGGAAGTAGGTGAGATTGAGATGGTCTGACCAGATCTCAACCGGTTCCGGGTGTCCCTCCAGGTAGTGCCGGTATTCCTCCAAGGCTCGGATGATTGCTAAGAGCTCCTTGTCGTATATCTCGTAGTTGCGCTCGTCAACATTGAGAGACTTGGAGTAGAAGGCGACCGGGTGCCATAGCTTGTCTTCTCCAAGTTGTTCCAAGACTGCCCCTGTTGCGAAGTCGGACGAGTCTGTTTCTAGCCTGTACGGGGCCGTGTCGTTCGGAATCTGAAGGATTGGAGCTGTCGTAAACGCGGTTTTGAGTCCTTCGAAGGCTTGCTCTTGTTCCTTTCCCCATTGCCACTGAATGTCCTTGCACGTGAGCTTAGTGAGCGGTCGGGCAATCTTGGCAAAATCCTTAATGAAACGCCGATAGAAGTTGGCTAGTCCAAGGAAAGCTTGAACATGTTTGACCTTGGTTGGAGTAGGCCATTCCTTGACACCTTGCACCTTAGACTCGTTCATGGAGATTGAATCCTTGGATACGACGAGTCCGAGGAAGTGAACCGAGGGTTGCTCAAACTTGCACTTTTCAGGCTTGACGAAGAGGTCATTGTCGCGCAGCTTCTTCAGGACCCGTTCTACCAGTTGGCGATGTAGAGTGAGGTCATCTGTGAAGATGAGGATGTCGTCGATGTACTCGTGGTTGCGGAAAGTATTCGAACGCCCGTGTTTAGGCGCCCATTGACCGCTCCTCCTCCTGGTCCTGTAAGTAGTATAAGTAGACATATCTCTACCGTAATTGAGGTATATGTTGCTGTTATTGTCAGGAACGTGTGCGCACCATGTGATAGGAATATGATCTCTATCTTGAGCCAAACTAGGCTCAACAAATCTCAGCATGCTCAGTGAGCATGAGCAGAACATTTGCTGTTCTTGGGTACTGAGAATTGATCAGAGTACCTCCAAATTCTTGCGCATGAGTCTGCTCATAAGGGAGATTCTACAACATTAGAAAGTATGGTGTATCTATGCCTCTGCTTGGAAGGATTAGTACTAACATAAGTCGAAAGTAAGCGTGGTTCAAAGATACTGTATTCTG